GGGGGGGGGGGGGGGGGGGGGGGGGGGGGGGGCTGAAAGAAAAGCTGGCCAGGGAGGGGCCGAAAGCTCCCAACAGAGCAGTTTTGTTTCTCCCTCAAAGTTTGCTTTCTGGGGCAAGACCCAGCCATGCCCGGGGGGGGGGGGGGCGCCAAGGGAGCTGTCCTTCAGTTGCTCTTGTGGGCATGTGGCCACTGCCAGGCCAAAGCCAGACAACGGCACCATTTCAAGACCGTGAAGGGCACGGCAGCCACCCAGCCAACTCGGCCTGCACCAGAGCCGCGCGTCCTGCTGGCGAAAGGCGGCCTGAGGTCTGCCCAGGCTAGTCTGGCCCACAGAGAAGGGCTGCTGGCACCGGAGGGGGGAAACTGGTCGGAGCCCCGGGCGCTATTCAGAGGCAGCTGAGGCCACCAGCCCCCCAGCCAAGGAAAGGAGCCACCCCACCCGCCACTCGCAGGGAGGCTGTGTGGGCCCTCCTGCTGTTGCCCAGGCTTCCTCCCTTCCAGGCAGGAGAGGGGGGGGCGTCTCCAGGAAGGCCGACCCTTCGGAGGGAGGGAGGGCCAAGCCATGGGACTGACCCACGGGCCAATGGCAGGGACACAAAGCCAGGGAGACAGCCCACGACACCCCCCCCACGGTGCCCCCACCCCAGTCGGCCCTGGTCCACAGAACAAATGTTCCCTTCCTGCTGATCAGGGACCCCCCCCCCCAGGAAGGAGCTCCTGATGGGGAGACAAGGGGGCCCATCGCAGACAGCCAGGGCCCTCCCCAGGTAAAGGGTGGGGGGGGGAGCTCTCCTGGAAACCCCCCCCTCCCCCCGCACCCGGAGATCAGGGAAGAGAGGGGCACCCGAGGCAGAATATGAACTGGGGGGTGGGGGGGAGGTACAGAGCAACGATGCAAAAGGCTAACTTGATGAACAAGAACCAAAGCAGCCCAAACCCATAAAAAGCATCAGCGTGGAAGGTGTGCAGGCAACACCATTCAAGTCACAGCTGCACAGCAGGCACACCACACTCCCAATGCTCTTCTTCCTTTGGCCCCAGGGACTCCCACCAGGCACCCCACCCCCTCCGGGCCAGTTGTCCGGAGGAGGATGGGGGGGGGGAAGGGAGCCCTTCCTTTGCCACCTCCCTCTCTCCCTCCTTCCTCTCCGCAGCCCCCTTAAGAGGCAGGCTGGGCCAAGACAGAACCGGACCTTTCACTGGGAGGGAGGGAGGGAAGAGGCAGCCCGAGAGAGAGAGACAGGCAAAGGGAACCCGTCCTGGGGCCTTTCGGAGAGATTTCACAGGCACAAACAGACACCCTGATGTGTTCCTGCCACAGTGATACGAAAACACCAGCTGCTTCCAGGTGCAGATCGCCCTCCATCCAGAGCCTCCCTCCCTCCCTCCCTCCCTCCCGCAGGACCCTCTGGGTGAAGAGAGGGCAGGAGAGGCGCCACTTGCCTGCCCAAAGGCAGCTCCTCCTAAGGAGGCCGCAGGACGGTGGCTCCCCACGGATCTGAACACAGAGCAACAAAGGGAATCGTCATGGTCTCTGACCACGTCTTCTTATCCCTTCTGCAATTCCCCCCTTTGACTAGGTGAAGGATCCTGAGTTCTTCAAAGGGGGAAGTTTGGAAAGCCCCCCGGTGAGTTTTCCTCTGGTCTCGAACAAAAGTCAAATTAACTATTAAGTTTAAGAAACAGAAACAAAGAGAGAGAGAAAACTAAGGAAGTATTTAAGACAGAAAGAAAAAAATGGACTCAGGGGTCAGAAAAATTTGGAACCTTAAAGGCTTCTGCTAAAAGCTTTGGGGAGAAATTAAATTAACCAACGGTACCTCTGTGCAAATACCACCGTTTAGTTTAAGAACCGATATTCAAACCTTCTGAACAAAGCTGCTCAGAGTCACCTGGTGGGGGAGGTGACGGCATAAAAACGTAATTAACAGATAATACACTTCAGAAATTAGACACCACTCTGGGCAAGAAAACAAAAGTCTGCTTCTCATTTTTCAACTGTAGAGGAAGGATTCTTCATATTGGACAAAATGATGGGTAACGGTGTGAAATTCATTCAGGGCACTTTTGAAAAGTGGGAACAGAAAAGTGTAGCTACAAGAGCAAAAATAACATTTCCATATACGAATATGCCTTATTTACAAAAGAAGCAAGGACAGTTGTCATAGAAAATGTTTGAAAGACCTTCAACGAAGAGGCAAAACAAGCTTATACAGGCTTACAAAAACCCATTTCCAATTTCTGGATTACAGAATAAAGTGGAAGTACGAAAGGCAAGTCAAGATTTACGAAAGAGGGTTGGCAAAAGCCTCGAAACAAGCTCAGAGATGGATGGATGGATGGATGGAAGGAAGGAAGGAAGGATCAAAACAGCCTCTGAATGGATCCAAGGCTCAGACTGACAGAAGGAAAAGCAAGGAATTTAAAGCTGATGGCTTAGCCAGGGTTAAGGCGAAACTCCAGGGGGGTTCTGGCCTTTATGGGTGTTTTGCTGGCAACCGGGTATTACTGATGTGGGGCTTTGGAAAAGGGTTTGGGGGGGGGGGGGGCTACAAGACAAAGAAGTAGGTGAGGCAACCTTATAAGGGGGGGAGGAGAAATATTACGTTTGCCTCGGATAAATAGTTGTGATGAAATCAGGAAGTCACCTCCTTAACTATTGTTCATTTCTTTAATCTTTTTTCTTTCTTTCTTTCTTTCCTTGCCCTTTCTATCCTTTTTTCATTTGTTTTCTCTGAATTTTCTTCTGAATTTCAAGCTTAGAATCTTTGATTATTTTTAAATTTTTCAGTATTTCTTTTTTAAAAAGAGAATTGAAAACATAGGCAAAGACACTCTAGAGCAGGGGTGTCAAACTCAAGGCCCATAGAGTGGATGTGGCCTGCAGGGGGCTTCACTCTGGCCTGTGGGGCCGGCCTGGAAATAGCCAAGGACCGGCCCACGGTGCCTCTGCCGGCCAAAAGGGGGGCGGGGGGGGGGGCTCCCCTTCTCTCTCTGCTCGCCCCAGATGGACACACCTGAACTCCAAGGGACCCCTACACTTCCAGAGCAGCCGACTGAGGGGGCCGTGGGGGGGGGGGGAAGGCCGGGGGGGAAAGGACAAGGCCCCAGACGTAGTCCAGACGGAGGTTTCCAAGCCTGGCCCCATAACCGGCTTGCCCCAGTGCCAGCCTCAAGGCAGAAGCGGGCTGGGCAAGAGACCAAGGATATGGGAATTGGTCAAGAAGCCCCCTGGGACTAAGGAGGAATGAAAGGGCAGGGAGGGCACGGAGCGGGTGGAAGGGCTGCCCTCCAGAGGGTGTGGATGCTCCACCACGGGAGGCTTTCAAGAAGAGGCTGGACAGCCATTGGTCTGAAACGGTTGAGCAGGGGGCTGGACTAGAAGACCTCCAAGGCCCCTTCCAACTCTACTGTGCTGAATTCCCTGGCCAGGGCGACCCCTGGGGGCTGCTTGGCAGGAAGCCCCGAGGAGCAGCAGCTGCTCAGCCCTTTCCTTACCTTTCACGATGTCCGAAAAAGTCGCAGAGTGGCGGGAGACGAAGAGCTTGAGCTGCTGATCCAGGTTGCAGGCGGTCAGGTCGATATCCCAAGAACGGATCCCTGCCAGGGAGAGGTGCGTGAGAATCCCTCTGCGGCACACAAAGCCTCCCCCGCCGGAAGCACCAACCTGGGGGCCAAGGGGCCCCTGCCGGTGGGGCTGCACTCTCTTTCCCCACAAGCTCCCCCCGAAATGATGGAGGAGGCAGCAGAGGCCAATGGGGCCTTGGTGGGTCGGGTGTTTCAAAACCCTGTTGGGCAGGTGGCTTTGTGTCCCCCCCCCTCCCCCCAAACTGAAGGGGTCCAAGGAGGCCCAAAGGCCGGCAGGCAAGCAGGCTGGCCGGGGAGCTTCTACAGCCCAGCCCCAAGAGCAAGGCTTGTGTCTCTGGCTGTTCCTGGGCCACGACAACCTCCAGCCCTCCCCCCCCCCC